GGGATGCGAGGTCAATGGTCTAACGACTACGGCATGCACGACTATGAGCCAGTACACCCTCCCCCCCCAACAAGGTTTTCGTGTGATTGAGAGCGAAGTTTCTGATTGAGAGCGAGATTGCGCGATGCGCTGTAGCTGGACTACCGCTGAGAGGTGGAGCTTGCTGCGTGACTTGAATTGAAGGTCTAGCCCGTAGCTACAAGCCGATACCCTGGTCATTCTGTGGGCGTTTCTCGTTGTGGAGCTACAGCGGGGAGCAGAATCTACAGCAGAGCTCACCGCCCGCGATCAAATCGCCCTGAAACAGTTTGAGGCAGGAATAGCCAATCTGGGGAAATCTAGCAACTTGTCTAGCTCCTAGCTGCAGCATCCGATCGCGATGACACGCATATGCTCGTGACGCTGCTGATGAGACCTTCAATTTGCGCCGCTTCTTGGAAGAGCCCGCCCCCTACTTCCCAAGAAATGGCAAGAGGCGTCTGGACCCGAAATTTCAATTTTTTTGGCTCCCGCTCTCAATCAATCGTATACTCCGCTCTCAATCAGGCGAAAACCCTGTTCCCCCCCGATAACCCCCCCTCGGTGTTTGCCATCGGGGTTGGGTTTTCGTCTCTTGCCAACAACGTTCTAACGCAAGCCTGTCATTTCGTGAGCTCGGCAACCAGGTTACCACTTTTTTCTTGTGGCTTTATTTGCGGTAACCGTAATGGTGGTCGAGTAGATTATGTTTTGTGGGGTGGAGAACCCTCACTCCGTGCAAGGGGGATGATCGAACCAAGTCGTGTTACATTGGTCAAGCATCCTCGAGGCACTTAGTTACACAGCAGTGCTTATAATTGTCTCTGGAAGTGAAAGCACCAGAAAGTATATGAAGTCATACGCAGCTGTCATCCGTACGCAAGGAAGTAAGCACAAGAACACCCTTTCTTTGCAGGATACAGCGCACCCTTTATGCGACTCGCCGAATACCTCACAACGCTTCGCGCTTGGTGGTGGGAGACCCTGGTTCGGTGAGAACCCGGCGTGCTCCGTCCCGGCTTTATAGGGATGCGAGGTCAATGGTCTAACGACTACGGCATGCACGACTATGAGTATGAGTACGCCCCCCCCATCGCGACCAATATTGACGCGTAGCCTGGGGTGTTCCATAATTTCCACTAGCTCTGCTGTGTGGGATCCCGCGCGCGTGCGCTGAAAAAAGCGCGCGAAAAATGTCGAAATCCCTGGGATTCGGTCAAAATGGCCCCCCCGGGGACATTCAACCCCCCCCCCCCCGCCACCAAGACTGACAGGTAGGCTGGGGATGTTCCGTTTTTTCGTTATTTCCACATGGAGGGCTCCTTGAAAAAGTAGCCCGCTTGTGAATCGAAGTCGTGGTAATCGAGATATACAGGTGTTTGGCGAGAGAAAGGCCTGGACTTTATATTTCTTTCTCTTTTTCCCCGGGCGCCGGCATTGAAAAATCGCCCACAAAATACCAGCTGGGTCTTCAAGCCCTCTCATGGGTTATTGTTTCATATGCATATATCATTTGAATATACTGAAAAAAGAGTAGTTTAGGCAGCTTACGGCTGATCTTTCAAGGTCTACCAGGCGAACCTGCCCTCGACCGGCCGCACCGCGACCACCAATCAACCCTTCTATGACCCTGTCTGGCTGCCCTCATGGCCTATAGGTGGAGATAGCTGCTGCGTCTGCGGAAATACACTCGTCGTCTCTTTTCTGCACTTCTATATTTCTCGCACTCTCTTCCCCATCTAAAAAAAAAAAAAACTATCGTAGACCGAAAGAGTTGACATCAATTCACCTGGTGAGCCCTCTGATAGCAGTTGAAAATCACGGCGTTGGCGTCGGGTTGGTCGGCGTATATCTGGGGTACTTGATCCCGCCGTACCTTTCGAGCAAACCGCGGGCAAGTGAGGTACGAGGCAAGGGTGGCGAGGGGCGCCTGGCGTTGAGAGGCGATAATTGGCACAAGTGTCATGTCGTGTGCACCGACACGAATGTTTCTACATTTGTATGGATAGCTGCTGTTGATTCCTTGATAATCTATCTTAGACTCGTTTTCTTCGAGATGGATTCGTCGGGTCTACAACAAATACTGAAAAACGAACGGTTTACCAAGCTTCATTCTCGACAGATCCTGCGGTTGTGTTGTCAGATTCATTCGTCGATGAGCTCAAGTGCTCGACAACACTTCAGTATCCACCGGACACGCTAACGATCGACGCCGTTCGTCTCCTATTCTCCTGCCGGTGTAGCCTTCTATCAACTCGTTCCCAAGCACTCGCTGCATGGGAGCTGAGGCCTTCATGATATGTACCTGGCTTACCATGGGTGGACGGGCTCTTCAAAAACGAGGCGGAAAAAAAATCAGCTCCCCGCCTTTATGATTCCCGCCAAATTCAGACCACATACCATCACCCACTCACTGTACAACTGCTGTCAGAAGGCGATCACTAGTGGATTGCTGTGGATCAACGTCCTCCTGAGCATCGTCGGATCGCCGATGGCACACTATGCAACGATGACGTTGTCAAAGGCAGAATCCGCGCCTCCCTTGAAAAGTTGTTGGCAACGAGACTACAGATCATATTGCTGTTGTTCCTTCCGTTCTTCGACAGACACAGGACTCACTTCTTCCTGGCCATGCCCAAGACAACCCCAGCCCACGTGGTCACAAAAGCGCTGCAGATGGCTACTGCCATGGGAAAGCCGTGGGCGGGTGTTAGCTCGATGGTCACCATGATCTCCGCTGGAAAGGAGTGGGAAGAGAAGAGTGTTCTTTGTCTGCAGCTGCTGTCTGACGTGCTCAGCGTTACGGGGAGAGGGGTCTTCTGGACGAGAATACGAGAATCGTTACAGCGCCTCCCCAGCGGTTGGTTTTGTTTTGTTGTCTTCATATATACTTCAGATTCCACCACGCACAGCGCAGCAGTTGATCCGGTCTCGTCTGTGTCCAGTACCTTTCTAATCCGCATGCTATACTCGTGCCGGTCCAACTGACGCGGACGCCTTCCGTCGTCACAGACCAACTAGTCTACCCAAAAGAAAAGATACAAATTGGACCAAGGCTGTGTGTGCGGGAAAGGTGTCCCGCACACCTAGCTACCCCGCCCTCCCCCCCGAGAGGGCCAAATTTAGTCCATTTGCTACGTACGATGTCTTGTTTAAGGCTGTCATTTTTTCAAGAAATGACAACTGGCCAAATAGTCCCGTGTTACAACGTCTTTTTTTGCTAAAATATAACAACGAATAATGACGAACCTTATTTGACAGCCTATAACACGGGGCTTGTTTTTGTTGCCCGTATCCTCAACATTGGTACGCAATAGTGTTGTGTTTGACTGCTCGC